TCACATATACATCGCTGTTCAATCGATTATCGTAAAACCAAATCCAAAGTACTCATAGCAGACAATCAGAACGAAGGGAAATACCAGAATGAGCCAATAAAAACTCGGAGAAATCAAATGTAATCAGATTCAAGCGGGGAAAAACGCTAGCATTTAGTTTTGCATCTGACTGGTCGAGAAGTCCCGCGAGATTTCTAGACATAAAGCGAAGTAAAAATGTAAATAAGATGATGTAATTATGAATTAATTTGGATATATCAACAAAGTTGAAATGGTAAATTGGCCACCGTAACGATTACAAAAGCTGACGTTTCGAGCGTTAGCCCTTCGTCGGAGCGAATAGAGGAATTGTGGGTTTTGTGTGCTTTTAAAGGCAGAAAATGGAGCTACGTTATTGGTGGGAGCATGGCAACGAGAAAAGCACGAATAAATTAGTGGAATGAAAAGCGTTCGTTGATCCCTGTAGGATTTAGACTGCCGGCGTTATGAATTACTTTTGACATTTTAATGTAAATCATCGTAATTGGGGATTAGATCAATGTTCTCCTGTTGTTATTTTACCCTCTGGTACTGATAGACGTAGGAAATATCATCGGGCGTCTTTCCATACTACATTCATTTTGAATCGAACTGATTTTAATTGTTTCTCTGACAGGCTTCTCAGAGTGCTCCCGTCGAAGTAGTTTATGAAAAAGAGGGATTCTTGCAGAAGAAAGAAGGAGTAAGTTTTAGGCGCTCTGATACTAAAGACGAGGTGACAAGCGGACGTGCAAAGAGTGGAAAGTGAAAGCTGAGCTTGCAGTTGTTAGGGAAATAGTTGTGTCGTTTTGCATTCCAGTCTCTTTGTGCTCCCACGAACAGTCGCCAACACCATATTCAGCCTCAATATTTTATTTAAGATCAGATCTCCTCACCAAGGCCAGTAACGTTCGCTTTTGACTAATATGCTGACATCTGCGATTTCATATTCTGTTGTAGAGCTGGAGAAAAAGGTGGTTCTTATTGAAAGACAGACACCTAAAGTATGCTAGAGGGGTGAGTGGAATTGTTATCCTTGGTTAGTTTCTGGAGTGTGAGAAAATAGAACTTTGTATTGTTTTGTTTGAATAATGAATCGATTTTACTCATACTGCTTGCTTCATTGTTGGCAGCCGCATGACAAGGACGATCTTGTTACGATTGACCTTAGAACAGTGACGTCACTGGTGAGATCTCCTAAGGGAGAGCTGTTGCAACTGGACATTGTTACTCTCGACAAGTAAGAAGAGTTTTGTATTAAATGTGTCCGTTAATTGCCTGCAGGTCCTTATCTGAAAGAACTTTACTCGCAAAAGCGTGCTAGTAATCTAAGAAACGTGAAAACGAAAGCTAAAAATTGATGATAAATGGAGGTCCCGTCTCCTGCAGGGTTAGTTGTAGGAGACGTTAATTTCCCTCGCGCGAGTATACTGTGTGATGGATGTTCTCCCCTGGGGTGGG